ATTTTTCAGAAATCTGTTCAAGGCAGCAGATCTTACGATGAATGAGGTTGTTGTTTTCCTTTTCCTGTTATCAATATCGCAGATATGTTTCTGTATCAGTAACACACGCGGCTCAAGCAGAGTAAAAAGGCCTCATTGTGGTATCAATAAACACAGAATGGTGTCAACGACATCTTTATCTCTGTAGAAACTTTCTATGCTGGTAGACGCAAGGCAATAATTTTTAAAGCTCTGAATGAATAGGCCAAAGAAAAATTCTTCCAAGTCTAAAATAATGATGGTGTCATCCTAATAATTTCCATAAAAATTATCAACTGCTGTATTAGTTTAATCAAAATTTTAATATCCTATAATCATGAAAGAGAGAGAGAGAGAGAGAGAGAGAGAGAGAGAGAGAGAGAGAGAGAGAGAACACAGAACCTTTTCTTGGCTAAGAGATCATCCTCTCCTCTCAATTACCTGCCAACTGACAGGTGAGTATTATACACAGGAAACTGGGCAGGCTAAAGGATAACAGCATACCCTGTGAAGATAATTGAAGTCAGTGTAACTACAGACAGGTCACACTTCTCCCCAGGTTCACCCCCCTCCCCAACACACACAAACACCCTCTCTGTGCTCTCCAAATCTCAAGTTGTTTGAAGTAGAAGTTCAGAGGGTCATGTCAAGAGGAATATCCTGCCCCAACAAGCAAGTGTGGTGCTATCAAAATCAACTTCATACAAGCTTTTCCCATACATCAGTCTTCAGGACTTCCTCTTTCCTGCACTGATGTACGGGACCGCAATGGTTTCATTAAGAACACATGCCGCCAATGAACTTCTCAAAACTACACAAGACTGGCTGGAGGCATTACCATTTTTTTCAAGCTTGCTTTTAGTTTTTTTAATAGGAAAAAAGCTATGCATCAGCCAATGAGTATTTTTTCTGACTACAATCTTTTTTTTTTAATATCAATAAAATCTACAGCTCGCCTGGTTTCAATCTGCTGGTTACTACTGGAATTTTGCAACCACTTTGTACTTTCATTGAGAGGTCAATAAAACAGCATGTGACATCACTTGAATGAAGAATAAATCTTTAAGTTTTAAAAGTTAAATCTCACAATTTTCAAGTTAATTCTCACATTTATTTCACTTTAAAAAAAGACACTCATCACACCAAAAGAGACTGGACTCATTTGTTGTTCTCCTAATCCAAACAGCACTCTGATAATGCTAAGTCATGAAAATTTCAATCAATTCTCTGACCCTACATACAACAGTGTGTCATCAGAACCCAAAGCCCTCCACCCACACACTGTCTACACCATGACTGGCAACCACCTTCATTCTGATCACACACCAATCAATTACCAGTCATGATACAGCACCCTGACTCTCAGCAGCTGTTATCATGTACAAGGTATTGAGATACCAGTGTTAAAGGGGTTTACCAATCGTCCGTAACTCAGGGCATCACATTGACAAAAGCTACAGAAATCCTACAGATGCAGCACCAGGCACCTGCAACATACACAAGTCATCTGCAAACCCTACCTGTTCTCTTGGAGCTCTAGAATGGGCTGAAGAGGACTTAAAATTCCAAATGGAAAATCTTTATGAGTCTGGACTTGAAGATCTTCAGGCTTTCTCCTTATAGGCTCCAGTTCCATAGTTCTTCTGTACCAGTGTCCCAGCCTTTATATTCCATGTAAAAAAGTCACTGTGTAATCCAAGTCTCACATGTGGTTTCAGTCAAGTTTCCTCAACTCTGACTAGTGTGCCAGATCAATTCTCGCCTCTGTCACATGATCTGCCATACCACCGTTCCTGCCCTGAGCACCCTGGGTAGAAGGTATGGAGAGAAATACACCATCACCACTGACTATTTCACCAACATTCCTCACATTTTGTCTTCTCTCATGCTGCCATGTCCCTCCACCTCTAATTCCCCAGAATATCCTCTAGTAAAGTCCCAGTTTTCCCGGCTCCCAGCAGCCAGTAGATTGTGTTGTCACCACAGCCCCAGCATGTAGTCCTGCCTGCCTCCAGTCCTAAGCCAAATCTGTTTGCTCAACCCTATCAATGATTTCCCTTTCCTGACCGACTGACGTCTCTTCCTTCCACTTGGCCCAGCCAGTCTTAAGTCAGTGAGAGTAAAGTGCAGTCTTACTATCACAGCATACTGAGCTTCCTCCTCCTTTCCCTGTTCTGCCTCTAGAGCTCCTCTTCTCCTTGGTCAATTCTCTCACTTTACACCAAAGTAGTTCGTCTTCTCTTGACCTCCTTTTTGGGCTACCATTCAACACACCGAGAGAAATTCTAAACAGTGGCCCTGAATGTGAACCTGAATACGACTTCCAAGGCCAGCATCAAAATAGCAAATTTCTCTATTGTCTGCGCCTTCCCCAGCCTTTGGTTTGACTTCCTATACCCAATGAAAACACAACTGTTCAAGTCAATCAGTGTTAAGCAACCCGAAACCACAAGCTACCTCAACTGATGAGACCTACCTATAAAAATAATGCAAACTTTTCACCAAATGACTGGTTGTTTTAACTGGAGACAGAGACAGAGAGATGGAGAGACGGGGATGGCTGTAGGGGGTTGGCTAGAGAGGTGATGGGGGAAGACTTATGTTTAATTCCTGATGCCAGTTTTTTGATCAATTTCCTCTCTTTGCCTGTGGGGGGAAATGATCAATTGTGGGTTAGGAAAAAAAGACCAGAAAATTAAAAAAAAAAAGGAATGGAAAAAAGGAAGACAGTAAATGAATTCTATATCTGGAAATATGAAAGCAAATAAAACAATCAGAAAAATAATGATTCAAAATGATATATTTTATCCAAAAGTTTAGGTGTTCTTTTTTCTGTTCTACATGTCCTATCTAAATAACAGTCAAATCAATGCCTTTCGTATTTTTTTCTTCTAAACTACTTATTACAATACAGTCAATAAAAGCAGCAAGACTTGTAATATCATCATTTTTTAAAATTCAATTTTAGGATGAAGTTATTTGGCTCCAAGGGTGAACACCAGAGGGCGACAAATATGACCCGTCTTTGTAAACTTGTGGAATCTCTTTTGCAGTTTCATGTCTGATATTGTTACGTGACTTTGACTATGTTCCTCTAGCCTGGACTGAATGAATACTAGAATGTGACACAATGGCAATGGGAGATAAATATGGCAAGACCTATTCTGCAGGTTAAGTGATTCATTTTTCACTAAAAATCCCTCTTGTCTACTATTTCATTGAAAAATAAAAAAGATAAAAAATGAGACGAGGAGGTAAAAAAGTTCAATTTTTTTCAAGTTAAAACAATGAGAGCCACTTTTTGTTTCTTGGCAGTCAATGTAGAATCAGAAATAGAATAGTTTGTATACAAATGTCCATTTGGTTTCTTTCATGAAAAAGTACAATAAATGTTGCTTACAATTACCTTGACATTGAAAATAACATTGATACTGTAATCTATAAAGTAAAATGTATAATGCAATTAACACATTCAACTTGGCAAATGTGTCTCATTCATTTAATTCAAATCAAAGTCACTCATGTTTGAATGACAAAAGGTCAACATGAAAATCTTCAGTACGGTATCAACTGGGGCATCAAAAATTCACTTAACAAGAGAACTAGAAGCAATTTTGTGTCAGTAAGGAATATTGGTACCGTATTAAATATTATACAGATGTGTCTTATGTTTTTTCTATCTCAATTTCCCTTATTCTTTATAGATGAAGACATACTGCAGACCTCCAAGGTTAAATGTAAATAATAATAATAAAAAAACCCTCTTTATAAAATATTAGAAGGACACCCCCTCTCAATTCAGTTGGAATTGTACAACTGGTTTCCCTCTGGAATAATGAACATTTCATCAAATGTTGCAAATAATTTTTTGAGTTGTCTTGTTAATTCAGATCCAGGTATTGTGTCAATACCAGAGGTGTGTAAAGTACCAGTACAACCAGATTTCATGACTCCCAGCTGCCAGAAGTTTGCCTAAGAACCACTGATGATGTTGAAACAGCATCCAAAGAGACATTATAAACTGTAGAACTAGTGTAGATTTATGCTTACTTTTTTTCTTTAATTCAAAAAGAAATTGCATGCAGTAATGTGTACAGTAACATGAAAACCACATGGGAATACTGAAAAGTTGCAAAATATTTTTTTTCAAATTCATGTTCAGTAACAAGTCAGTGAAATTTAAATCCACTAAATAAGTGACACTTTTGAAAATAAGGAAGTCAAGAGTTCCATTGTGGTTAGCTTCCAGAGAGCTTTAGTTGAATTTCAGTGATAAACCTGGGTAATTCAAATATGGTTAACTTGGTTACAGAGCAAAATGTTCCTGTTATCAACTGACTTCAGCTAACTCTGGTGACAGGAGTAGTAATACTACAGCTATACATGATGTCAAGTGGCACGAATGGCTCTATTGATTCTGCTTAATGAAAGACATTATCTACATCAGGGTGTGTCTACTTTCTATACAGATAGGGATATATGAAATCAGTGAAAATTAAGGATTTTTAAGTTAAATCAAAATCTTGCTCCCGCCCCCCTCCCCTTCACCTAGTATAAAAGGTCCGATGTGCAGATTTTGGCAAAGTCATGTTTTTTCCCAATCAAAACAGGATGCATATGCTTACCACTTACCATCCGCCCACACCCAAAATTATCCACACAAATCATTAGATCATTTGTATACATAATTGATAAATTATACAGACATGCCATGCTAACATGCTACCGACAGACACAGGTGGATACTAACCCTTCTACCAGAGGTTCAGTGACTGGTTTGGGGAAATAGGAATTCAACAGAGCTATCCTCTTTTACTCTAGTTAGTATTTTAATTTCTTAGTGTACTAGAAAAAACCTAGAATTATAAATCACCAGTGTGATTCTTTTTTACAAGCTTTGTGGTGGTTTTTGCTATTTGTGCTGTCAGAACTGTGCCTCTTTCAACCACTAATAACAGGGTTTAAATGGGGGAAGACTTTAAATAATAAAGAATGTAACAAGTGCACTTTTTATTTAAGGGGAATTTTTAAAGTAATTCTGATGCAACATTATCCAATGTAGCAGTATTAGTCCTTTTCTGAATGCTAAAAAACTGATTAGATGTCAAGATGAAAACTTGTGATTTTCCAAATAAAATGCTAAGACAAAAGCTTCTTTATTAAAATCTTAAAAAAAAAAAAATTGACCACAGATTCAGTGTCATTCAGACTGATGCAGTAAATCATCAGAATATTAAAAACTAGGCTTGGGTGGACCATACAATTTTTTGCTTACATATTTTTCATTATCTTCAAATATCTTTTTTGCTGATATTCAATAGATTTGGTGAAATTATTTTCCTTGTTCATACATTCTGAAATTTTCACACTGTACCATTTCATCTTACCTATCAGATCTTTTCTCTACCTCCTGTAGGTGGGACATGTTTTCTTTCACAAGTTTTCCTCTGATCCCAAGCTCTGCACTGCCACCTTTACTCTTACACTATTATCCAAACTGTCCACCTTCTTCATACCTTCACGTTTTTTATCTTATTCCATCAGCTTTTTTAGAGGTAAAATTCCTCATCAGACTACAGCAGCAGAATCTCAGCTCTAAAGAACCAACCAGTGCTCCATATTCTGGTAGGTGTAGTTAACCATCACAGTGTACACACCACACAGCTGAGACACCTCACCAACACACACTAGCCCCTCCACAAAAACTCCAGAGGAGATCCACTAGAATTCTTCTATTTATAAAATGAACCTAAGAAATATTGAATCATAGACTCCACATCTGCAGCTGTTTTTCCTCCACCCCTCCTTCCTTCATTTTTTTTTTCAATCTGCTGACTATTTTTTAGTACTATTCTACAATGTGATATTCCTTCCTTGTCGGCCAACTGTCGCCAGGTATTTCTCACACTGAGGGATAATTGGCCCAGCCACATGTTGCCGATTCATGAATGCACTTGCGGAACTTGGAGACAAAATGTTTCAGTGCTCTATGTAGGCATTTCCTTGACTGTTTTTTTATCACACGCACACATTGTCACAAAGAAGATTTAAGTAGACAAGTTTAAAGTTTCAGGTGTGGTTACATAAAAGATGGGTTGCCCTTTCTCTGACGTAACCTGCTAACTCCAGCACAGGCAGTAAAGCTAAACTTTCCTCCTTATGATTCCACCATACAACAAGTCAAGGTAGGGAAACCAAGGGGTTTCAGAATCTAAAATAGAATAATTTGCCACCTATTGTCTGTTGATGTCAACAGGCTTTTTAAAGTCTTAAGTCAGTCCAGTTGTGAACACGGCTCAACTTGCCCTGTCACCATCACATTCCACACCCATGCCCCATCCATGTGGACAACAAGATATTAAATATAGATATAGAATACAACACAGTGCACTGGCTCTCGTATCTTCCTCCACGATAATAAAATATGAAAGTGCTTATGTCATACATATGCCAAAGAAAACTTTTTCAATTATCCACTGAAAGGCTTCTGTGGTGTGGTCGGCTGCTCTCAGCCTTCTTCTCTATTCACTTGGGGGAAGACCTACATTCCCCTCCACTTCATTAGGGATGCCAGGAAACTACTTGGCCCACATAGGCTGCTTTGGGAGGATTTGGGAATGCATTTTGAAGATCTTTATTAATTGCAAAACAAATATGGGCTATTGCAACATATGGTCTTCTGGGTGTCACTTATGATTAACAGTGATTACAATTCTTAGCTTTTTTTTTTAGAAATAAGTACTATTGGAGGAGTGTTGTTTTTTCAATAATAAATAAATGATATAAATAAAAAAAACTGAAAATAAAATACCTCATGAAAGACTGAATAGTATATGTTGTGTAATCAAAAATTCTTTTAAATTTCAAAATGAACCCTCCTCCCACTGAAGTGGATAAGAATTTAGACTAGAACAGGATGGGATTGTTAAGGACGGCTTGTTGGCCTTCAAGCTGAACTGAAACCCCTCTAAAATACAGGTTAATTTATGAATTGACTTTAGGAATTTAAAATACAACAAATCAGAAAGTCCACATTTATGTGCATTGTGTAATTCTTAAGAGAATTGAAAAGAAGCTATGGAAATTTTAAAAAATGCATTATTTTTGGAAGGGGGGTATTTAGCAAAATCATTATCACAAATTTATGATCAAATCCTTGTTTTATTGGTTTTTTTTTTATTAACAACTATGACTTGATACCCAGTTTAAAAAATCCAAACCAGATCACCACACTTGGGCTTTTATTTCAATGACTTTTAAGAGACTAAGAACAGTTATTAGTTATAGGAGGCTAATTACAGCAGCTAGTCTGACTTATTCTTGGGTTGTGGCTCTCATTAAAATCAGAGCTGTTGCAAATGTAATTAGTTACTGGAGTGAACTGAGTGGGAGTGGAGAGACTCAGAGGTCAAATTTCCACAGGTAAAAACTTCATGCAAGACATGTGGCAGAACAGAA